GATTTTATTATCACTTCACTCACCAATGCCATGGCCTTAAGATTCCTGACCTTCTCAGTGTCGGTAAGCTTTGCCTCTTTACTCTGCTTCACCTTCCCATTCTCCGTGTCCACACCCTGACCTCAACATTCCTCCTAAGTACACCACTTCTAAAACCTTAAATTCTAATGTATGTTTCTTTAAACATAATGTCTTAGCCCACAAGCTCTCTTATTTTCTTACTCTTCTACTACTCATTCTCACTAAGACTTTTCTTTTGAGCCATTTATTTTCTTTGAGATCAAGAGAGACCATGATAACTGCCTCTTGGCTTTTCTTCCTTCTTTACACAGTCTGGATTACTTTCATTAATACTCATATTTCCTTGGGACACAGAATTCCATGAATTCTTCTGCCAAACCCCAACCGAGATGCTGCTGTCTTGTCTGTTTCCATATTAATCACATGTGTACTGCTAGAGAGTATCAAATAGCCATATGGACTGCAGCCAGTATAAATCTGTGGTCTTCATTCCTCAGGGCCAGCTGTCTCTCTTTTTGCTTGTCTTTGGTCACATTGCCCTCAAACTCCCTACTCAATAATGCTTGTCACAACAAACTTACCTCTAGTTGGCCATGAGGAAGCAACAGGAACTGGATTTACCCTAACAATGGTTCTCAGACATTGAACAATGGGCAGTGCAGGACAGTGATCCTCAGAAAAACAAATGAAGTAAGCCTTATGATTGCTGCAGCTTAATGTCTTAGAGAGTGTTTCAAGATTACCGTGCAGGGAGGGACACCCAGATAGTGCCTGGCAGTCTTCCTGAGTTGCCAAAACAGAGTTCAGAATTTGAGGCGGTCAAGATGGTTAGAATTCACAAGATTGAGAGGAGAAAGCTGAAGAGAAAGGGAAAGTATTCCACAGATCTGTAGAGGATTCCTTTTGACTTTTCAGCTGAGAACTGATAAGCATATGTGTACAAGGAAATTACTGGAGGCTAAGGAAAGAACTACCAGAAAAGAAGGGGAAAAAATTCCTGGTGGTTACACATAGCTGAAAATAGCTTGTGTTCATATCATCCAGAATGAAAGGACCTCCTAGTGCACTGGGCATCAAGTAGAGTACCCAAGATGGAAACCACTTTGATTTTTAATAACATAACCTCAGAAATGGCATGCCATCATTTCTGCCATAGTCTACGGGTCACACAGACTAACTCCAGTACAATATGGAAGAAAATTACCTCAGGGTCTGAGGTATCAAGAGGTGGAGATCATTGGGCGCCATCTTGGAGATTAGCTACCACAGTTCATATGTTCAAGAAGGTAAAGGAAATCATAAGCATTTTAAGAAGAGTAATGGAAGATATTTAAAAGATCCAGATTGAACTTTTAGAGATGAAATAATGTAGTGGCTAAATTGAAAAATACTATAATGAGATTAACAATCAATAAGATGATGCAATAGGAAAGACTAGTGAACTTAAAGACATGGCAAGAAAATTATCCAAAATGAAATGGAGTTTTTTTTAAAACTGAAAAAAATTGAATAAAGTACAGTGAGCTGTGGGACATTTTCAAGCCGCCTAATATATGTGGATTTGGAGTTCCACAAAAGGGGGTAGAGCAACAGAAACATGTTTAAGGAAATAATGGCTTAAATTTTTCCAGATTTAATGTAAACCCTAAATTCTCAAATCTAAGAAACTCAAGCTCAAAAAGAAGAAATATAAAGAAAACTACTCTAAGGCACATCATAATCAATTGCTTTAGACGAATTATAAAGAGAAAATCTTAAAAGCAGCCTGGGTGTGTACAGTGGGGAGAGTTTGAGGGGAATAACATAACACAGAGAATATAGATAAGAATAACACCCGACTTCTCATTGAAAAGTATATAAGTCATAAGATAGTGGAGTAACATCTTTGGTGGGGGGGAGATAATTAGGTTTATTTAGTATTTATTTATTCCTGGAGGAAGTAGTGGGGATTGAACCCAGGACCTCAAGTATGCTAAGCATTTGCACTACCAGTTGAGCTATACCCTCCCCCCCACCACATCTTTGAAGAACTGCAAGGAAAAATAGGTGGGCAAAGAGGTCATTAATGTTCCATATGGCCTTAACACTAATGCATAGTTTGCTCCAAGGTGGAGTGTTCTACAAATGTCAATTAGGGCAAGTTGGTTGATAGTGTTATCCGGGTTTTCTAAATCCATACAGATTTTCTGTCTACTTATTCTCTCAAATATTAATGGGGGTATTGAGATCACTGACTATAATTGTGAATTTTGTCCATTTACCCTGGCAGTTCTGTCAGTTTTTTCACCATGTATTTTGTAGCTGTGTTATTAAAACATTTAGGATTGTTCTGTCCTCTACAGAAACTGACCCCTTTATCATTATAAAATGACCCTATTTTCCTCTGGCAGAATTTCTTGCTCTGAAATCTACTTTGGCTGGTATTAATGTAGCCACTCCATATTTATTTTGATTAGTGTTATCAAAATATGTATCCTTCCATCCTTTCAAACAAAAAACTATTGCTAAGAATTAATATAACTCATGCAGAATAAATCTAAGCTTTTCTCACCTAGAGTATTTATCAATTTTTTCATTTAATTCAGACCTGCCAGCTTTTTATAAATGCAGC